TCTAATAAATTCACTCTAGTGGATCGAGTAAATGAAGATATCGAATAGCAAATTCAGGAAGCCGATACATTGAGATAAATATCTGCATTGCAAATCAGTCAGAGTATAAATTATCGGCAAAATAGAATAGTTGTGGAAACTTTTATCCTCAGAGACACTCATCTTCCAACGGAAACAAGTAACAACTATGGAGTACTAACAAACGTCGAATTTCCCGTAGCATGAAACTATAAGAATCCAAGAGAATTTCTAGAGGGATATTATTCAGATAACTTGGCAATCAATAGGCACATTGAAATACCCGAGAGGTCACTCAGTTACAATGCTAAATGTCAACCGACCGATATAATCAGTATGAATACAAGGACAAATGAAGATAATCAAACCTACAAATACAGCCAGCTACAAATAAAGCTACTAAAATAAGCTGATACAACAGTTGTAGAATAACTGGAAAGAGTAGTTTCACATGTAGTAAGCGTTGACATTGTTCAGAATGATAAAGAAAGCTTAACATTCAGAAAGATTTACTTAGAAAATACAACACCATCAACAACTCTAAGACATCGATATTTATCATTCCCTAACTATTTCTACTCATTTAACATTTTAATATGCTGATCATATCTAACAACAGAAGATTTATCATAAGGTAGTTAACAAAGTCTCTAGCTGCATTCGTTTGAGCTTCTTGTTTTTTGTTGTAAAATTCCCTATTCCGACGTAATCGAAGCCATCAGCCCGAGCCTATAACTAGGTCCAGGGAGAGAACGGGACTTACCTCGTAAAGAAACCTAACCTTATTCCGACCGACGAGCTTCTCAATGAAAGTATACTCTGGTGCTATGCGTTTCTTAGTTTCCAACAAAGTGTGCAGAAATGTCTTAATTCCTTCTGAGTCATACGTAGACGATTATTATCAGGGTCTGTTATGATCTGGAAGGACTAACGTATATTTAGGTTGGTCCATTTTTTGGCAGGGTACCTGTAAATATTTATTTAAACGTGATTTGGAGTTTCCCATAGACTAATCACCATGCAACTCAGAAGTTCGACTTACCTCTTCTGCCTCTTCCAACTCATTTTGACCGTATATGTTACTGGTGTAGCTACCGCCAGGACCTAATGGATTTTTACACCCATTAAGAGAAATATAATTGCATTGTAACTCATCAAACACGGATACTTAATGCAATGAGAAAATGTTCTCAGATTAGAACTTTAATTAAACCAAAAATTGATGTTTGTGAAGTGTATTCTATTGACAATAATGTAAGTGATTGTCAAGGTTTTAAAGAAATACACTGTTACCCGAAGTTATATTGGATATCCTTTCAACCATTACATTTGTCGTGTATGCTACTTATGCAAACAGATATAAGTAGTATGTAGTTGCCATCGGAAGCGGAATGCCTATCAACAGATGATTGAACGGATGAGAACAGGAAGGGAAACAGAAAGCAATTGGAATAACAGGAGAATTGGAATGATCATGGAGTATGTAAAGGACAACTGACGGAAAATGTGCAAATACTGTATCTAATGGGTGATTTTCATATATTGCAAAACCATTATGTGATTTTGCACTAAATAGTAAGCTGGTTTTACATACCTGAATTTTTGTACATTACATAATAAGTCTGAGTAACAGAAATATACAACCTAACACAATGCTTGATGTCAGCTCTTAATATATATCATATTGTTGTTGAGTGAAAAAAGTCACTGAAAAAGTACCTTAATAAATAATAATTGTGTGTTGCCTAGTGATTAGCTTGAACGAATGCTCGCCAAAGTTTTAGTAATATAATTTTATAATCTGTGGATTTAATATTATAGTAAGGGGAACAGTACTATATTAGCAACACTAGATAATGTTCATTTTATATTTAAAATTGATTGGAGTTGAAGGTGATGTATTTTGGACTCAAGCTTAATAGTTTGCAAACTTGAACATTCTAAAACGTGCAACTTTCTGGCAACACATTTTGAGGGAGTCTTTAAAAAAAACTTTCTAGTGCTTCCCGACTATCGGTGATTCTCGATCTTATATAGTTGTATTGTATTATATTATAGTTTCGTGAATAAGTGGAAGTTATTCCGTTCGTTATCCCTGACTATTCTGTAGCCATTCTAATTCTATTGTACCTAAAGGTTTACGTAAAACACAAGTGGGTTAAATCTATAGCTCAGGGATAAGAAGTCATGCATTTTTTTTATCAGGATATGATTAGTGTTGCTGAGTTGTTTTTAAGCGTTTCGTACTATGCTTATTATACTCCGAATATCAGTTGGTGAAATAGAAATGTTTATTACATATATTATGGACATTTGAAACTAAAATAATTATTCCTTCCATGTTTGTCCTATTCAGAATTCGTCAATCGGACCTACTTGCGTCCTAGTGTTGATATTGAGATGGAACTCTAAATCAACACCCTGAGCAGATGATTCCAGATAGTTACCAACTTATTCATCAGATAATATATTTATTAACATTATCAGTGTAGGTTTAAATTTTATTACATCCGAACGGAGAATAAATGAATAGTAACTACTAGAGATTATTTATGGACTGTCATTACATATATTCCTATTAAATAACTAATAAGTAACTTTACTATATTTATATTCATATTTCTTTTACCATAAGCTTTCATTTGACCTATCGGCCATTATTATACGATTGACTATTATTAAAAAACTCCCAATCTATTAGTTTTGCATAGAAGACAGCTGACAGACGTATTCCATATGAGGAATGGAGTTAGATAAGAGTTCTTACGCTCCACCTTTCCCTTTCTTCTGGTAGTTGTCTGAATTATGAAGACCTCAAAATCTCACACGAAGCACGGAATACAATGAACAGCTTGCATGCAACTAGATGATTTAGGCTTCACAGATGATCTAGCTCTTCTATCCCATGAACACCAACAAATGCAAGTGAAGACAGCTAATGTAGCAGCCTTTGTAGCAGTAGACCTCAACATACATAAAGGGAAAGTAAGATCCTGAAATACAACACAGAGAACACCAACTCAATCACACTTAATGGAAAAGCTCTGGAAGATGTGGAGACTTTCACGTACGTGGGCAGCATCATGTATGAACAAGGAGGGTTTGATGCAGATGTGAAGGCAAGGATTGGCAAAGTAAGGGTCGCATTCCTATAATTGAAGAACATATGGAACTCAAAACAACTATCTGCAAGCTAACATCAGAGTTAGAACCTTCAATATGAACGTTAAAATAGTTCTACTGTACGGAGCTGAAACGTCGAGAACTACTACAACCATCAGCAAAGAAATACAGGTATTTATAAACAATCGTCTACAGAAGGTACTCAGTGTCCTTTGACTTGATACCATCAGTAACAGCTTACTGTAGGAGAGGACATTAGGAAATAACATTGGATGTAGGTAGGACATACATTACGGAAATCATCAAACTGCATCACGTAGCAAGCACTAACCTGGAATGCTGAAGGGAAAGGGAGAAGAGTAAGACCAAAGAATACACTGAGTCGATAATTGGTAGCAGACATGAAAAGGATGAATAGCAGCTGGAAATAATTGCCCAGAACAGAGTTGGATGGAGAATGCTGATGTTGTATCTTTAAACTCGGCTAATTATCACGTGATTTATTCGCCAATCAAAATGCGATTTATACAATCTTAGTACTGTGTCAAACCAATGATGTCCGACCGGTATGAGCAGCCTAGAGTCCTTATTAGTCCTTGGTTCTCCTAGCCCTTCCAATCGAGTCCAGAACGCTAGTAACAACTTTCGCTATGCGAATTATTTATTTTAAACACACTTGGTTTATATACAAGCCAAACAAACCACGTCACACCATAAAATAGGAAGTAACATTTGTACAAGATCAAGCCAAAAAGTGGCTGTGAATGTGGGAGACTAATTAATGAACTGAGTATAATTTAAGAATAGTAAATTGTATCATAATATTCTATAGGTAAAAATAATAGGAATATAGATATACATAATCGAGTTATTGAATAAGAATATATATAATACTAATCCATTAATAGTTCTCAGAAGTTACCTATAATTTAATCTTCACTAGGATATAACAGCTGGTGAGCGGCCTATTCTCCTCCACGAGGAGTAACAGGCGTAAGTAAGTAATCTATTTGTTATAGTCTCTCACACTCCCAGCCACTTTTGCACTGATCTTGTATAATTGTTATTTTTTTATTTCGTGATATGATGCGGTTTGATTTGTTTGTATAGAAATTGAGTATATCTGAAATACACATTTTATAAAGTGGAGGTTGAGATTGTGTTCTGGTCTCAACGGGCAGGGCTAGGCGAGAAGGACCAATAAGGATTCAAAGTTGACGCGTGGCTGCTGGTGCTGCTTTGACGTGTCATTGGTTTAGGACAAGAACAAGGGCATATAAATCGGTATTCTGGTTGGCGATTTTGTCTCGTGTTAATGTACAGGGGCAAAAATCAAAACAGATTTATCCTTTTGTTGTTTATCTTGAATGAACTTCGATCAATCTTTGTAGGCTTTTATGCGTTCACTGTGGATTGATTCTATACAGCCATTTTGTCAAAGGTTTTATGAAAAAGATGGATTTGGACTAGCATTAGGACTTAGGATGCTTGTCTTATCTTATTTAGGACTTATCAGTGTTGAGATTAATATTGGGAAAAGTCTTTACTTTTAAGCAAAACTAAATCAATTTTAGTGTGCATGCCTAGTTAGAAGTAATTTATTTTTTTAATAAATAAGTTAAATTATCCTTAAATTAATTAAGCGTATTTTATTATCATATGATACAAGTATACTGGAATTATGCACTTCTAACTAAAGATCAATTATATACTAATTACCTAATTAAATAATGAATGGTACTGAACTCATGCATAATTACTTTTGTGTGTGTGTGTGTGTCAATACATCAACCAATCAGTTTTCGAATAAATTCAAACAATAAAAAAGTATCATCAATTGACTGGAAATAAAAGAAGCCGTTCTGACAATTTCATATGATATTACTTCCGAGAAAAGGGAAATTCTCAACTTCATTCTATGGGAATAAAACATAACTATATACGTATATAACAATTGGATTTAATAAAGATATTACTAATATTGTGTGTTACCATGTCGTGGAGAATAACGGAAGCCAATGGTAGCTTTTTGACAAGTTCATCACTAACACGTGAAGAAACCACAGAACAACCAGGTGGGCCAGCACCAACCCCAACTGATAAAACACTGACTCGAATTATTTCAACAATAAATCATGAAAATTTGGATTATTTTCAAGAATCATTTAATAAATGTCAATTAACCATAAAAGATATTCTTGAAATTCTTGAACATCTTACATCATCATGGTTGAAATATCAAAGAAGTTAAAGTCATACAACATGAACGAAAGATGAATAAATCAGCAGATACAAGTATATATTAATAAAAATATGCATCTGTCACTTATGGTACATTATTTAATGATCACGTTTTAAATAAATGAATTATCTTTATTGAGTTGTATTCCTGTACATAACGTTCTGTAATTGTTAAGAAATAGACCTTCGAACAATTTATCTTTATTCAGAACGCATGTATGGTTAATGTAATGATGAATTGTTTTTATTATTACTGGATATAGATTTTATTGTAATCTTTACCTAAATAGATCTTTATTAAAAGCATTCAATTATGTGTGATAGAGTATCTAATCAATCTGAAACATTAACGAATAAAAAGCTTATCAATTATCATTTAAACGAATATACCTCGTTTTACTAGAAAATTCTGTCTTTTATTTATATTTCCATGTTAATATGAAATTAAAAAAATAAATTATTTTGTGATTAAAACAATGACTCTATTAATTCCAATAGTTGAAATCATGAGTCAATCAAAGCTAGACCACCATGGAAAACCTGGAAGCACTGGACGGCCGTTTCGTTCTAGTATGGGACTCCTCCACGATCTCGCCCCCCACGGGATTCAAACCCAGGACCTATCAGTCTCGCGCGCGAGCGCTTAACCACTTACCACTGAGCCGGCATCCAGCGGTGTTAATGTCTAACTTCAACTAATCCACGAAATCGCGCCACCGTACGCCATTGTCTTCAGTGAGCTGATATCTCACAACAGACCTGTTGAACTCCATTGGTAACAAGATTCTAACCCAAGAAGTTGAGAAGTATCAAACGTCGAATTTCAACGAAATGACTAATTCTTATTGTACTTATCATAAAATCCTAAGTTTTTTTTAATTTGATTTCATTGTAAATGGTGAATATGAACTTTTGGAAAGTTTCAATCTTGCTTCAAATCAAGAATCCCCCTCCTAGTTCTTAATAATCTTTTAATTAAAGTCAATTAATATTGGAATACAATCTGAAAATTGAATAAATCACCTCGATTGTTCAATCAAAAATGATTCTTATCTATTGGGAAATATTCCTTTTCATTATTATTATAATTTTGTAGGCTGTATTCATCACAAATCGATCTCATTCGGGATAACATTAGAAACAGTTAAGGAATGACACAGCCATCTTCCTTCGTTTTTTACGCTTGAACATTACACACCAAATACTCTTTCAGGAATTGAACTTGGGAGCTTTAAGTCTCTCGACGAACGCTTAGACATTAAAACCATTGCATCGTTGTCCAGTGATGCAACCCAATCCTCAATCAATTTGCGATTTATCGCAAAGACTAACCTAGTTCTCAATGGTATTCCAAATGAGTTTACTCTCTAACGCATACAGCCTAGGAATTAAATCAATCTACACTAAACCCCTATTATTCAAACCAATAAATGCTTTTACTGAAATTTAGTTCACCATAGTTTACTCTTCTACTATTTAAAATAATCACTGATATCTTTTGCAATCAGAATTTTAAAGATTTAGTTAATCAAGTTGATCAGTTAACCATTTCCTAATCAAATCGGTTTATATCTATAGTGAAAGGTAAATCAGGTAATTCGAAAGTGTTTCTTTCAAGAAAAACAGAAAATAAAAACAACCTAATTATAATAGAATGACGTCACACTTCATTGATATCAGTATTTATTTTTGTACACAAGGTGAATAGAGGTAAATGCGGAAACACCTTTGATATTTTCAATATTTAGTATTATATTGTATCAAATTTTTGTGAGGAAGGTTACATTGTTAGGTAGTAAATTTACTCAACAATCATAATCTCTTCATTCTATGAATCAATTATACAAGCTAAACTAACTGATACTTTGTATGAGATTCTTAGTTGAGCATAATTAGTATATTAAGAGCATACATTCTATTCCACTTGGCAGATTTTAGACTTATTATACTTGATGTCACAGGCTGGTCTTGTTTAAACAAACATCGAAAATCAGGGAGCACCGAACAGTTATTTCGTTTTAGTACTGGACTATTCAGCAATGTTCACCAACGATCCTAGGACTTTTTGTTTTACTAGGATCGCTTACCCTCTAAACCACTGAGATAGCATCCAAGGGTGTATATGTCTAACTTCAATCAGTTCGCCATATTATTTGAGCATCATCAATTGGCTTCGGCGGATAATTTTCTAATATCCGATTTAGATTTCACTGGTTACAGTATCTCACTAAAACTTCTGGAACCACATCTGAAACTGAGTCTCTAGTGGGTAAATGATTCTTATTAACATAAAGGTTTTGTGCAAATTATCAAATTTTTTTATTAAAATCAAGGACTGATCTTGGTTAAACAACTACTGGCTTGATTGATACAGAGGATACAACAATCAATCTGTAATTAAGAAATCCTTGTATTAAGTGAGTGTGTTTTATAGATGAAAATTAATTGTTTCTACCATACCCTGGATAATCTTAACTTTAATGAAAACTTATTTAACAACAGTATGTGGATATTCTTGTGATACATAAAACCACTTCGAATTTAATTGCTATCACTAAAAACTAATTATTATTTGGATTAATGACTAAGCGTTTAACTCAATAGTTTCAGTAACCACTTGAAAAGACATATTGTTAAAAGCATTCTGAACATTAAAAATCCCTAACATTTACTGAAAACAGAAAATAAGTCTAATTGGATCTTCCATGTGACTATCATACTTAGTTCGATTTCTCTACAATTGAAATATTTTATTTTTCATCGATGATCAATGTAACATTTCTGTTTCTTCTTCTTCTTCTTTCTTATTTCTCTTGATACACTAACTTACACACTAACTACTAACTTTACAACATGTGGAAATTTTAAATGAGAAAAAGACTTAAAAAAAGGTGGATTAATCTTTAGACAATGATTAGATTTTTGAAATAAAACAGTTGACTTTCGATTTTTTGATAATCCTCGTTACTAATTGACATTAATAGGGAAATGATAAAAAATCAGGTAATAATGGATAACCATTTAATGAAACTTCGTAAATGTTTTTATTCATTATTATACAGAAGATTGAATTAAAGATTTTCAAGTTTTGATGTAAACATAATCTCTTTAGACCAATAACTTGATATTAAATGATTTCCATATCGAACTTCAGTAAATTCATGATATATAACTAATGTTATTTAATAGTTTCAGTGATACATATTTTACATTAAAAATAAATATACTTCTCTAGTCACTACATATTAGAATGTCTGAAATATATATGGGTGGTGTTTGGATTCATAAAGCAGGAGATTTCCAGTATTTATTTATTATATAGAAAATTTGAAATATTCCCATAATGTAAATTTAGAACAACATATATAAGCGAACAATATTGTTTTCGATTAGATCCTCATCAGGCTTTACTCTAATATACAGTAATATTTATATGCATATACGAAATTATTAAACCAATCAAGGTAGTTTATAAATCAATGATAACGATGAATAAAACGATTACATAATATGTGAAAAGTACAAATAGTGTGATGACAGGTGTACTAGTTTTTATAAGAATAATAAAGGCTCAAATCAATGTTACATAATCGGAAATAGGTCAATGATTAGAAAAATATAGATAGTGAGATAACATTTATAAAAATTATTATAAGATGACGTAATGAGAAGTGTTCAGATAATTGAACCGTGTAAAAATAAAAATAAAATAGTAGGAGGGGGTGAAGAAGAATTAATAAACAAAGAGGTTTGAAAAGAAAATAATAAATAAATTCATTTATTAAGGCCAAGGGAGAGATAAGGGTGTTACAAATTTCTTCTGAACACAAAGACTCGGCTTGTTGGCTCGAATTCCTATAGCTTCTGCTATGTGTAAGAGACGAGATCGAACACCATAGGGAAAATTAGTGGGAATACGATAAATAACTTTAAATGACTTATTTCTGTCCACTACATGACCACTATCGATTAAGTGTGAAAGAACTGAGCAGGAGCAGCTGAATTCGTAGATACACATAGAAGTGGCGTAACCAGGTAACTTGTCCTTCAGTTGGGGAATCACCATAGGTCGGGTCGAATACGATAGATCTATGGTGTACCGTATAGGGACTTTGATCAACTTCTCAGACTAAAACAAGAGGTTAGATTCACAATGAATTAGCTTCACACTATCGAATCTTATAAATTGTCTCCCCAAAATACAGTTGTTCTGTTTGATAATTGTGGCAGTAAATGATTTATAATCTCAAAAAGAAAATAATCCATCACATAATTCTGTTTTCAACTGTATCAGGGTTATTTTATCAAATCTCTATTTCCTATCATAGGCTTTTAATTAGATAAATTGTTAGGGTGTCGCTTCATGGAAGAGCACTTATTGTGTATCAGACAGGTTTTACTAACCCTCTATGAGTGAGAGAATTATTCAATACATATCAGTTAATTAGTATAAAGAGGACAATTACTCAATCTGGATTTTTTTAGCACGGATGATAACAGGTGAATTTAAAAACATGCTTTGGCTATGGCCATTGACAACGTTTACAATGTTCACTATGTCTGTTTTACATAAAACTCTCACTTACTCCTCTTTTTATGTATTGGGTGATTGCTGCATTTCGAGCATCTAGAGGTATAAAAAACTGCTTTCCATGAACATATCAAAGCGGTGCAACCAAACATTTTGGATCAAGAAAACAAATATAGTGGAAATCATAGACTGAAATAAAATCCCTGATAAAGATTACACTAGCATTTATCAACTAATTAAATGAGAAGAATGGTCAAAATTACTGGATATATCTCAGCCAATGTTGTCGGTGGAGAAACTTAGACTGACGCTATTACATATTCTAAAGTAATTTATTGATCGTTCACATCGTTCACATATAGATGTAAATTAAAGGTATATAAATTATGTACAATCCAGTTGATTTGAAAATCGCGGATAGTTAAAGATTTTTATAATGAATAAATAATGAGACAGGTCTGTGCAAGTCATGAATTCACAAATATGTTAGACCTATGTCTAGATTGGACAATTAAATGAGTCATCTTAATCGATTATCCAAGTATGCAATTGAGATGACTAATACTGAACACTAATATAGAGATGAATGCATTTGTATGCATGTAACTAATGTAAAGCGAATTTCCACTTTTAACACAATTCTTTGAAAAGAAAATCGTTAAAGAACTCTTCTTAAATTAATTAAATTTTCTCTATTTCCACCGAGTAACTAATGCAGTTGTTAGGACACGGGTACCAGGTAAGGATGGCAAATCAATTGATGAAGTAGTAAAACTTCATCAGTTGAGATGGTTGGGACATGTATTACGTATGCCCAACCACCGACTGCCCCGACGTGCGATGTTTTATGGTGTAGGAGTATGTTGGAAAAAAGCTAGGGGCGGTCAGACCAAAACATGGCACAAATCCATGAAGTCACTGACAAGTGAACTGAGCCAT